ATTCTTATTAAGTTGAGATATCCACTGAGCTTTATTTGATCAGCGAGTTACCTGTTTACCTGTTAAACTGAGTTACCTGTTTTAACTCGCAGGTTTTGGGTCTAGACCGTAGAGAGTCATCTTTACAACTGCTGCAGTTCATCTTTTGAAGATCCAGTCTTCAAGGTAACTACTCATTTTGATATTTTGGTTTTGTGGCATGTACAGGTCACAAAGTTGGGCCCATTTCATTCTGGAAAATAGTGTAATGTCTTGTATATATTAAATAAATGTCTGTATATAAATGATGTATAAAGCAACAGCATGATATAATTATATTTAGCATACAGGATGATATCAGCATGACAGGACATAGGTTCAACCAGATTGTAGCGATTCATTCAGGTTCACAGGTGGACCGGGAAGGGATGTAACCATTAATCGCAAATAATTTTAATAAATGATTGTACTAAATCATTATAAATGATGTATAAAGCAACAGCATGATATAATTATATTTAGCATACAGGATGATATCAGCATGACAGGACATAGGTTCAACCAGATTGTAGCGTCTCGGCTCGATTCATTCAGGTTCACAGGTGGACCGGGAAGGGATGTTACACATTAATCGCAATAATTTAATAAATGATTGTACTAAATCATTTTTTAGTATAAATAAAAGCAACAATAGTTTGTGCTATAATTATTCCAATTAACACATATCATAGTCATTAAAAGCCTGATATAAAAAATTCACCGTCATTTTCAAGATAAGTTATCATGATATCATAATTTGAAAATTATGAGTTGAATCAACATTTACGCAAATAATCTTGTAAACTTTAGGTTATAAGTTAATAATAATCATATAACTATCTTTTGCATGCATCCAGACAATATCTAAATACTCTATATGATAGATAAATTGATCAATAATTGCCCTTTATATATTCCAGAAAATGCAAGCAGTTCAATTTGAACTTTACTTGGTGATGGCTCAACAACTTATTTGCTTTAAGAACAAACTAAGCATGAAAAATTCAATAGATTTAAAGAAACTCTAGTTCTTCAATAAATATCTATATAAGGATTCAATTTTCTTTTTTCGCATCATTACTGATTGGGATGGTCCAACTGATCATGTCAAATAATAAAGTACTTCGATTTATAAACTTTTGATTTACAACCATATTAATTTCAATCTTATTTTCATATAAGATCCATTTTATTAAATAACTTTGAAACTTAATAAAATTCTAGAAGATTAGAGAAATAATAAAGTATTATGCATAAATTCATTCTTCTAAGTAATAATACTTACTTTTTGGAGCCTCTAAATATTATTTTACTATCAAAATCAAATTTATTTTTCTATATTTTAGTATGCAATAAGTACATGACCAATATAGAAATGCAAGTATAAGCATAGGAAAAACAATATTTAAAATTAGAAAATCGTTTTATAATATAGAACTGTTTTTCAAAAGAAGTTGTTATAAAATTTCTTTTTACTTTAAAGATAAAACGTAAAGTATTAAGATGAAAAGAAATAAAGGGAGTTGAGAATAAGTTTTGAGAAATAAAAAATATGATCAATGGACGAACACTCTTAAAAACTTTTTTCTCTCACATCTTTTAAAGACGAAATATCTTTTTATAGAGAGAGATGAGAATCCAGTTTTTAGAGAGTAAAATCTCCTTTTCAAATCAGAATATTGACTTTTCATTTTTAGAAGATACGGAAATCTTTGTTACCAAATCTTTTGAGTCAATATTCTTTCTTTATTGCTACTTCTGAAGCATATTCGAGGCATAAATATTATTGATAATTTTAGAACAAGAGCTAATATGCTTCAAATATAATAATAAGAATATAGTTACCAAAGAAATCTATTAGATATCAAAGTATGAACTCATGTGAATTTATATGCCAATACATAACAATAATTATAATAAAATAATAACGTTAATGCTGCAGAATTATAATAACTTATAGTTTTATAATCCTTGATAAATGCATTTATTCATGATGATAATTTAGTCATTGTACCTTCCTTTTAAATCATTCCAAAAAAATACGTAAATATTTAATTATCAAATATTTAATAGAAAAAATTTATTACCTTGTAATATTTTGATTAGATTATTAATTATTACCTTTGGATCCAAATATATATCAACACCTTATATACGATAAATAATTCATGCCATAATATCAATCATTACAAAGCTCAAGCTTTTTAAAATTTAATATAGCAAAAAAAGAATTTAACAAAATAATTATGTTAGATAAAATATATCATAAACTCAAAATATTGAACTCATAAAAAATAATAGCAAAAGAAAAAATAAAAAAGTTAAGCAAGAAGACGTGTCAAAGCAAGTAAATTAACTAAATTTCATTTGTAAAATCACACAATTAAATTTGAACCTTTAGGCAGGTGTGATAGCTAAAAATATATATATACTTACGCCCGTCAAACATGAATCTAGATTTACGCACAATATTCAATTTATTCAAATGTATCTATTACATATAAAACAACGAAACAAGTAAAATAAAAATATAAAAACTCAGCTATATAACATGATTAAAAAGATAATTGTAAGTAGTAACAATAAAGCTAATCATTTATAAATATTATAAGCATAAATATCAACTTATTTCATGTGCTACAATTAATGGTATTTCAACGTTAAAACACTAATAGATTAAAAATAATCAAATCGTGTCAATTAGATATAGTTTTAGTCTTTTTAATCATGTATAGCTCGTAATATTATTTCGGTCCATTAAATCTACCGATGAATAATAAATAATCAAATCATTGTCAGTATAACTATAGTTGGTAACACTTACCTATTGGCTACAGCAACTAGTTGGGTCAGACGTTAGCATGCAAAAACCAGTGGCAGTAGACAGTAGTTGGTGACCCAAAGGGATTTTCATCTACTAATTAGGACCATGCTCCAAAACAAATGGGCCATGCAATAATTATGACATTTTGATATTACTACCTATGGATGTTGAAGGAGACTCATATCCATGAAAGTGACTTCAAAACTCTAAAATTGAACATTTCTTTTCTAGAAAAGAAGTCAAAATGACCACATGTTCAGGAAATTTTAGAGGATTCCATTTTGAATCACAATATTATATTTCACTATATTATATGCTCCTACCACTTCATTCTTGGTGGGACAATATGGAATTGAGTTGCCTAGAACTCTCATAATAATAATAAAAAAAAAAAATCATTACTTGTTATATTTTGAATATTAATAACATTATAAAAGTCACCAGTATTTGATGAGACCGTCAACGTGCTGTTAAAATTTATACTCTGTTGATTATTATTTTTAGCAACAAATACTAAATGATGTTAAATTAGTGTTGTTAAATCTAAATTTTAGTATAGTGATTGTGAATCTTATTTTTCGAACTCTAAAGTTGATTTATTTTTCGATTCTACAAGGTATGAGATTATTATAAAAGGGCTATAAGGTCAAAGGGTGATTATTAGGATGCTATAAATGTCATATCCATTAAATCTTTGTTTAAAAATTCGAAGGTTAAATTTTGTATTCAGATAAATATTATAGATCGACATTTTTAACTTTTTCACAGTAAACCTAACTGAGTTGTATTATTGCAAATAATAATAATACTAATAATAAATATTGTTTTGTAGATGGAAAAGAGAAAAAACGAGAGAAGAAGAAGAAGAGACTGGGCATCTTAGTTTAAAATTTTAACTAAAAACTTCTTGTGGAATGCATTCAAACTTTACTAATTACAATAGAAATTACTTGATTATACTAAATTTTTTGTAAAATAGGCTAAGAGTTGCAAAATTGAAATAAGTAATTTTACATACCAAACAAGCAAATATGATGAGAGTTCAAGTAGACTTAAGCGAAACGCATAAATTCGCCGCTGTATTGTATTATAAATTTATGGCATTGTCGATTTTTATTTTGATTTGTTAAACGCTTAACTTATAAAATTAAACATATTAAACATTTAAAAACTTGGTAAAATTTATTGAACACTTCAACTTTTAAAATTAAACCAATTAAATATTTATTGGATAGTTAAAAAAAAAATTATTGTTGTAAAAGTTATAATAATGATATAAAAGCTAAAAGAACTAAAAAAATTATTATTACTAGTATAGAGAGATATATAATATTACCAAAATTAGAACTTTATTAGGGGCATAATAGGTCTATCGTAAATTTTGAAGCGCTATAAGTTTTTCACACATAAAATATATGAGTGAATTTATATATTTGACAATTAAACTTATTTATACAAGCATAGAGTACTTTGCAGATATATATTGCAAAATAGAGGTGAGCAAAACTACCGAACCGATTTGGTTCGATTTGATTTGGTCAGTTTGCCAACAAGAAAGTGTAGGTGTCGGTTTAAATAGTTTAGACCAAAATTCTCTTTTAGCTCAGCCTAATTTTGCACAAACCAATCAATTTGATTTAAATCCAATTGACTCATTAAAAACAGATCAAACCAACCAATCAATTTGGATGGATTCAGTTCAAATATAAACTTCAATTTGAATTGGATCTCTGTCTAAAATTTCAATTTCCCTTTTCCTACTTAATTCAATTCAGTTTTGAATTGAACCGACCATTTGCTCATTCATATTGTAAAATTAAAATTTTTTACAGATAGTGTTTATTAAGATTATATAGAATCCAAGTTCCTCTTTTATTATTATTATTATTATTATTATTATTATTTTTACTGCAGAACTTAAAGGAGCTATACAATTCTTTCAATATTTAAGGAAAGTATCAGAAAACTAGCCAATAAACATAATCACTACATAATAATTATTTAGTTAATCTTTTAGAGGCCAAATGACCATCACACTAGAAAAGGAAATCAAACAAACATCACTTACAATTTTCTGAAAAGAAAAACCTAACAACAGACTTACCAATAACCAGCAATTTGCTGGATATCACAGCAGTAAAAGAGGGGGGGATAAAAGGAATTGAAACCCAAAATCATGGGAAGAAAATGTTAAAAGAAAAGAAGAAATATTCATTCTTTTTGTGTATCACTGTGTCACCAGAGATGCATGATACAGTAATTCTGCGTATACACCGCAATATGATTTTACATCGTAATCGAATTCAAAGAAAGAAAAACCTATATCATAAAAACCTCAAAGCTCAAACCTTACACGGAATTCAGTGAGACTGCATTTCTACCATAAATTCATCAAAACAGGCAAACTGATTAGCTCTAACCAAGTTCTTATATAAACTGAAACATCTGGACAAGGAAAATGTACGAAATTTGCTTTATCAGATATACTTCACCTACAATAACCTCTTGACATTCACATCATAATTGTCCTAAGCAGCAATTCCTGAAACAAACAATACCAACAGCATGTGAGATTTTAGAAGCTATGATAATAAATTAGAATAACATATGTTGCATGTGGATGGAAGGCTTTGAAACTGCAATATTTGGATTTGATAAATATTTCGTTTATATTTGTGTGTGGATTTGAAGTACCTATAAGAAGGTGAAATTTTAAATCAACCTCAAATAAGTGTTCATCAGATAGATGAATGTAATAAATTGAAGGATCAACTTTCTTTCAAATAATTTAAACTAATATCGTACTTGTTCAAAAATTCCACAATTTGAAATTCTTCCGACCCAAGTAGACAATTAGTTATATGGTTGAAAATCAAACAAACAATATACTGATGTAATTAGTCTACATTGGCAATTGGAAGAAAATAGTGTGAGGAAAAAGATAAACTCCAGTTTGAATCCTGAAAGTGCTAATGATGTGGGGTCTAGTGTGGGCATTCATCAACTCCCTGATTTACTATATTCAAGAAAGATAAAATAGATCTAGTTCATTGCTTCAAAATTTACTAGTAGAGTTAATAGAATGTTCTGAATCCAACTATCCCTAAAAGGGTAAAAAAAATAAGAATATCGACTCTTCAGGATCGGGTGTAAAAAATTTTGAATAAGGCATCTATCAACTGAAATTCCGTGCACATGACAACGAACATGCATGGATAAGCAGTTAAAAAGCAAGGACATTTCAAAGTCAAATGCACAGGCCAATTACCTCTATTTGCTTGTCTACTGGCAACACTATAACCACCGACATAACCAGCAGAGTTTCTACTCACAACATCTGAAGCTGCATTTCCAAGCCCAAAACCAAATGAGCCAGACCCCTCCAGCTCTAGAGCTGAAGATCGCCAGGCAGAATCCCCATACAATGAGCCATTTTCATAAATATCTTCATAAGATCCATCATATGATGCAGCATGAGATGAAACTGGTGCAACATTTGTCCCACTGTTTCTTCCATATCCTACCCCTCCTAAACCAACACCGAAATCTCCATTGTTGTAGCTAAGACTGCCACTATTATAAGTAGAGCCAGCACCACCACCTTGTACAGAATTAGCTGATGAACCCCAAAGTGCTCCAATACTGCCAAAAGAACTCATTCCAGAATTCCCAGTTCCAGGGCCCATAAAATTACTGGAACTTGTGGAGTTTGAAGCATGATTAATATTTCCATTACCCCACAAAGTTCGAGCTGTGGAATTTAAGACAGAACTATTTCCACCATTACCACCATTAAACCCGATAGGATTATCATATCTGCCTGAATTTCCATTATATGAAGGACTAATTCGCCCATAACCAAGGTTAGAACTTAGGTTGGAATTTCCCCCGTAACTAGGACTTAACCCCTGCTCAAAGTTCAGCCCCATCCCAAAACCAGGACCAAATGGAGAAAAGTTACTCCGACCAACAGTAACAGGGCTAAACCTACCATCCATTCTAACACCAAGTCCTCCAGTAGGACTTGGATTGTATCCCTGAGTGTAACTATTCAGAATGCTGCCAACTCTACTGGCACCATAATTATATCCACTTAACGGACTGCGAGTTGGTCCTGGAGATAATTCTTTTGGGACAGCCCGCTTGACCTCTACCATTTTACCATTGAGTTCATGGAAGGTTTTGTGCAACACTTTATCCACTGCTTCCTCTGAATCATAAGTAATAAATCCAAACCCTCTTGGCCTTTGAGTGTTGTGGTCATACATAACAACAACATCTGTAATCGTCCCAAACTGATCAAAATATTTCTTAAAGTCGTTCTCTGTGACCGTAGATGCTAAACCTCCTACAAATATCTTCTTAGTACGAGCTGGACCAGGTGATCCATGTATGCTGCTGCTGTTGCTTCTGTTCAGAATGTTTTGATCCTCCCTAGGAACTGCCTTCTTTGCCTCAACCTGAGAATAAAAAGCTTAATAATGAAAAGTCTACAATATATTTTCATGCTTATAAATATTACAGACTTCTTTAAAAAAAAAAAAGGAAATTTATTCAGAAATAAATAAATGAGAATTTACCAAGGAGGACGAGGAATCCTCCCATATAACTCATTAGATAACTACAAAGCACTAGACACCAAAAAAAAAATGAAGAGGAAAAAAAAGGCAATATTCTCCACAATTATGTTGAGCTCCACTCTAGACACCCTGCTTTCCACCCATCCAAGTGCTTCAGAAGCATAAGTCTACATGGAAGCCAAAAATACCATCCCATCCAATAAATAGTCAAAAGTTCCAAATTCATGTCTTCCAACTACTTTCACGTCTTCTCAGCTTCCTCATGAACATTACAGCAATTTTTTTTTAAAATAAGAATTTCAAAGTTGTACGGTAAGCTGGCTTAAGCTTGTATGATAATTGAGAAAATAGATAAACAGCCTTCATGTTTTTAGTTAATAAATTTATTTTCAACATTGGATATGCTTACATAATCATGAAGAATATAAAAGTATCCTTTAGCAGCTCAAGGAATGATATGCTGTGGACAGCCTACCAAAATTAAGGTATGCAAAGTAGAATGCTAGAAGTTAGCATCTGATAAACGCTTTCCTATCTAGAAATTTCCAAGTCCCAACATTCCCATCCAGAATTTTCAAACAATATTTAGTTGTGGCACTGAGCCTTTTGCAATAGCATCATTCTATTGAATGCGATTAATTACTGCCCTTTTCATTCATACCTAATTGTGCCTTCCAATTGAATTGACTCTCGAGGAAGCCACTCCTAACGTCACTTTAGGTTTTTCCTTCTAAAACAGAATTTGTCAGTTTCGAAAATGGCATTCACATTATTGCTCAAATACTAATTTTTAGTAGGCATTTAGAGTTGCCAACCCATGAACTTTGATCTTGATAATCCTATGATTACCTCCTTGGGTCTCAGGAATTAATACCATGCCATATATTTTTCAACATATCTGAGTTATCCAATAGCGATATCTAGCCAATAAAATACCTCTAGCAAACCCCACAAGAAAATGATTTAATGGGTTGTTAACCAATAAATTATCAATTACCTGTTGCTTTAATCCCATTTTATACCACCACCACATTATTACGATCCAAACATTTACTTGTCTAATACACCTTTTACTATTATTATAGAAACAAAATCAGTGATTAAATGCTGATCCAAATTTAAATTGTTCGAGAATTAAAACATAAAAACTTACATTTCTACCATCTATCAGATGCTTTTCCATCACAACTCTCTCAGCAACAACAGGGTCAGCAAAAACAACGAAACCAAAGCCACGGGCACGACCTGTAGCCCGATCCTTCATTATCACAGCCTCCATAACTTCTCCATAAGCCTGGAAATATTCCCTAAGACGGTCTTCATTTGTATCCCATGAAATCCCACCAATGAACAGTTTCCCAAGCTCCATTTCCATTTCTGCATACAAATCCCATCAACAAAATTCTCAACAAATGAAAAATAAAAGGAAATGAAAGCATCGTAACAAACATCGCAGAAAAAATAAGCTATTCTAGTAGTGTACCAATCAAACACCAGATCTAAATTACAACACAGAATTGGATGCAGAAATAATGATATACAACCCAATAATCACTGGCATAAAATATTTCAAACAATCTAAAATACAATATTATGTTGATAAAAACAATCAAATACAAAATATGAAAATGCGGATTAAACAAAGAGAAATAATACCTTAGACAAAGAAATAAAACAAAGCTTGGATATTTACAGGTATTTACGAAATGGGTGCTTATGGATTCAATCCAACAGCATATATAAGACCTTCAGACTTTAACCGATCAAATATGGATCAACCAGCGATAAAGAATTCCTAAAAACCAATTAGAAAAAACAATCAAATTTGAAAACGAATAAGCAAAGGATCCAAAGCCCAGAAGCTATAAAACAGCCATCAAAAAGAAAAACATGTTTTTGATAGAAAATTTACCAAAGAAAGATAAATAAGATAGAAAAGTGAGAGAATCTAAGATCTGAGAGGAGGCATAACAAGAAAAGAGGGCGAGAGAGGCCCTCTGTTATTGCTCTCTCCCTCTCTCTCTGTATGTCTGCGTTCTTGTAATCACTGTTAATGATTCAATTAGATTAGACACATATATACGACCAAATGATATAGAAGATTTTATCAACCAGAAGAGGGAGAGAGATGCAAGAGAGAAAATGGGATTGCAACAAAAATGAGTATATATATGTAAAAAAAATTTATATATAGCGATAGAGAGAGAGAGTGAGAAAGGTTTGGCTATCCTCTCGTGTGTAAGAATAAGAAAGTTACAATGGGAGACGATAGAAGATGGTGACTTTCCAAATTTTGAGTTTTTTCGTTTTTAATAATTTTAAATTTAAACCATTATTTATTTTATTTTATTTTATTTTAATAGTATTTTACTAATTATGTATTTTTATAATCTATTTTATTTTCCCAACCGTACATTACCCTAATTCTTTCCCCAATGAGTCCCTGTCCTCCTCCTATTTTTTATATTTCCGTTAATTTTATAGTTCAAAAATTAAAAAAAGAGTTATATATGTTGTAAGAGTTTTTTTTTTTTTTTGAGTCCCTGTCCTCCTCCTATTTTTTATATTTCCGTTAATTTTATAGTTCAAAAAATTAAAAAAAGAGTTATATATGTTGTAAGTAAGAGTTTTTTTTTTTTTTGGAAAAATTGTAAGAGTAATGTAAAATTAATAAATTTGTGAATTTTATTCAATAAATTATTGCCATTTAAATTATAAAAAATAGTTTTATTGTTTACCGTCTTATAAGAATAGACGTGAAGTGGAAAAAATTTCTGCCATATATATTATTTTATTTATTTACACTTTTCATTTTTAAAAATAAAATTAACACTTTTCTCATTTTAATATGATTCTTCAAATTGAAAAATTGCATTTACAACTCAATCAAGTTATTTAGATTTACACAACTAAACATAGTTTAGTAATAAGTGTATATACGATCTTACAATAAATTTAGATTTAATTCCTCTCTTTAATACTCAAAAATAAATTATTCAAATTAAATGTGATTCTATCCAATATTCATAAATGCACTTGACATATAATTCGAAAGATCACTTATCAATTGCCCAATTTCATTTAATATATTTTATTTTAATAATACATTTACAAGTTTTCAAAAAAGAAGGTAGGAAATTAGATTTTTTTTTTTTGGTGTAAAGGAAATTAGAATTTAAACCCTTGCCCTTCTATTTTAAGAGACCCAAGCATTTAAAGATTATTTGCTAAATAAAAAACAATATTTGATAATTTGCCCTTTTTTTTCCCTCTCTTCAATTGGGGAAATAAAATACAAATTGATATTTTGTAAATTTTAAATATTCCCAAAATTTTTTTAATAAAAAGTATCCATATTATATCCTTATATGTACTCTGCTTAGGAGAGGCATAAATGTATTTAGAAGAACAAGAATTTGAACGTTAGGATAGTATTAATTAGGGTAAAAGCGTAAATGGTCAAGAAAATTGCAAGAAAGATAGCCAAAACAAATCTTGGATTTTGATAAAAAAAATTATTTATTAATCGATACAAAATAATTTATTTTTCATAACAATTGTAGCTTATTATATATCATTATCATTCAAATTCAATTGTCAATTATAGTTTGCGTAGCATTAAAATTAACCGTGTGGACAGTATATATTACACTATAAATTTTCAATCAATGTTAAAATTTCATATTATCAAATACTAATCAATTTGAACAATCACGTTAGGTGAATTTGGACGATAACTATATAAAAGTCGGAATTATTATAAAAAATAAAATACAATTTATCAATTTAGAACATTAAAGAATTAATCAAAATTAAAAAAAAAAAGTATCAAATTTTTTTTTTTTTTTTTTTTTTTTAAAAGTATCAAAATTTTTTTTTTTTTTTTTTTTTGTCATTTGACATGTCATTAAAAAAATCATTTTTTTTTTTTTTTTTTTTTTTGTCATTTGACATGTATAAAAAAATTCAAAATAGCACGTGTATGATATTTGTTTGGTGCTGTTAAATTGTCCAACCACTTGGTTTACAATTACAATTAGTAAAATAAGTTAGCCGAATTAAGAAATAAAGGTAGGTAAAAGGTGTATTTATTTTTTTATTTTCTTATTATTATTTTTTTTAATTTTAGAGAGGAGACAAATTTTTAGAAGCTTGGTTTTGAAGATCTCTAAATGTATTAATAAAAGGGGGGACAAAAAAGGCTAAAGGCAAGCAATTACTTTGACTTGGAGAAAGGAATGTGTCTTTTGCTTCTTTTGATCTTTAAAATTTTGTTCTTTGGTTAAATTATAAATGCATGAAATATTTACCATGTATAAATGATTTGATAATTGAAAGTTAAATGCAATTATTATAATTCTTTTGTGATAAATATGTATTATTTTAATTATGTATATTTCTTTCTTTTATTTCAAGTAATTGCATATATTTAATAAATTTCAAAAAATTTATTTTTTATTATAAAATATAATTCCAAGTATCATTTTAATTTTAGCATTTAATTATTGTTTATGAGTTGTATGATATATATCATTATTAGCATGGGGTTGTCCACGCGTCACTTTGAATACAATAATTGAATCAAATTTAAAGTGACGATATGAAAATATTAAAATTAAACCAAATTAAATTATCAAAATTTCAAATCAAACTAAACCTTTAATGGCAGTTTGATTTGATTTGATTCAATTTGATGGTTCAGGCAATTCGAAAATGAAGAGATTAAAATTTTCTATTTATTTAGTTAACAAGAAAAGAAGGATTAAAATTATACTAAGTATAACAAGTAATTGATACAAAGTATGACATAAAATACACATGATTTTAAATAGTTGTTAACATATTTTAAATTAATTTTTTTTATATGTTTATTCTGAGTATGGTATAAAAAAATATTATATATTTAATATGATGTTAATTAGGTACTTATAAATATGGAATTTAAATATTGATTTATTTTTATATTTATTAAAAAAATTATAAAAAACTATAATTTTACTTACATATAATTTCTGCATAATATATATTAATTTATTTTCTATCAACTTTTAACATTTAAACTTTGCATAGAATAATTATATAATATATCCAATTAATATAAAATTATTGTTTAATTACCATTCAATATAAATTAATTTCATAATTTACTATCCAATATTAATTAATCACTGCAAAGAAAAGTTTCATTAAAAAAAATTGAATTGAAATTATTTATCATTTAAAATTTAAATATAGTTAAATTTAAATATAGTATATATACTATATATATATATATATATAATATATATATATATATATATATATATATATATATAATGGTTTGGCTTCAATTTAGCAATTTTCACTTTTAAAAAGCATTAAATGAACCATATATATATAATGGTTTGGTTCAATTTAGCAATTTTCACTTTAAAAGCATAAATTGAACCAAAAGTTTGATTTTTAAATTTTACAAAACCAAATCAAACCATCAATTATTTAAAACCACAATTTTAAATCGGTGTGAGCAGTTTGATGAATATCCTATACATATCATATAATACCACAGGGGCTAAATGAAGCATTTCACCAATAAATTATTAGATGAAGATAAAAATACTAGAAGTAAGAGTTTTGTCATTCATTGGAATTTGATATGTGAAATGGGATTTTTTTTTTTTTTTTTGGTTACAAAAAGGAAGAGGAACAAATCCTCTAGAAACACAATTTGGAATACGTTACTCTACAGACAACATGAGTTCCCAATGTTAGATTTGAAGCATAAGTTGCCAACCAATCTGCACAAGTGTTATCTTCCCTGAACATATTAGAAATAGCTCTAACCTAGGCTTCAAAAAACTGTTGTTGGATAGAAGTAATAAGTGATTTGAGGCCACCGGTCACTCTAACCTACATGTCCTTTAATCATCTTAACAATCATAATAGGTTTTAATGAGATTATTATGTATTACACAACAAAGATAATCCTCCTTTTAACTTATAAAATTAAATGACTCTTGTGATCTTAAATTGCAATTTTACCTGAACTAGTGAGTGTCTGATTCGAACCGATTTTAGCAAATTATAGTGAATAAACGGATTTGGATAGATTCAAGTAGTAATTTTACTATTCGTATCGAGTTCGACTCAAATTCAGGTTCAAGGACTCGAATACCTGCTAACTGTTACCCGTTTAATTAATAGTATAAAAATATTTAAATTAATTATTTTTTAAAAAAGAAAATTATATAATATGTATTTTTAATTATAATTGATGCTGTAATTATATTTAATATTTACATTGTATTTTTTATAAAGTTACAATAATAATTTTATAATTTTTACTTACTTTTTATTTTTGAAAAATAAAAATAAAAATATTTTTGTTGCTAAACGAGTATTTAAACGGTTCGGGTATTTAAGGAGATAATTATAATCGGATTCGGGTACTAAAAGTAAATTTCTAAATGGGTTCGGATACCTAAATTATTATTGGATACGAATAGTGCATTTTAATCATCCCTTCTTGTGATACTCAAATCCAAAATTTTTTCTATCTCCACATAAATAAGAAGACAATTAAAGGATACAAATTCATATTTTAATTTTTAATTGAGAAGATAATTACTATAATAAAATATAATTTACAGTTTTTATCATTGTCTTTTGTAGGGTTAACCGACTAAAATTCCCCATTTTTTGCGATTTGTTGCAATATTATCCTAAACTCACTTTCGTCCTTCAGTCATCTGACTCAGTATCTTAAATATATAATCACCCTAATTATAAAATTAGTTAGAATTTTACAATATAATAGTAATAAAGTGGATCCCACCTAATCAGCTTGGTTTAAGTTAACCCAAGTCCCTAAAATCATCAAGGCGCACTGTTTTATCTTTTCATTTTCCTTCTTCTCCATCACTCTTTTCTCTATTATCCTCTATCCACAATTTTTCTGCATTTTCAATTTCTTAACTTTCATCTCGTTTTTCCGGAATCCACACACACAATCAAAGCTACACTCAAGAAAGCAAACCAATCCACAAAGCTCTTTTATTATTATTATTATTATTATTATTATTATTATTATTTCATTTTATTTATCCATTTTTTTTTTGTTCCTTTTTAGCTTTCTGTGGACTGACTTGAAGAACATAAAAATATGAGGTGCAAAACAAAGCAATAACTAGCACTAAAGCAGTAGCAACTACAACAAAACATAGTACAAAAAAAACAAAAAGAAGAGTCAGCTATTTCTTCAGTCCAA